GATGATGCCTTCCTGGAACAGATGGCCAAGCATGCAAAAGGAAGGGAGATAGTAGTAATGGGGGACTTCAATTACCCGGATATTTGTTGCATGTCAAACTCAGCCAAGAGCATAAGGTCAAACAGATTCCTCACTGGCCTTGCAGACAACTTCATTGTCCAGAAAGTGGGAGAAGCAACAAGAGGAACAGCCATTTTAGATCTGGTCCTAACCAATGTTGATGACCTGGTTAGTGGGGTAGAAGTGGAAGGATCATTAGGCGCAAGTGATCATGCTCTTCTGAAGTTTACTATACAGCGGAAAGGAGCAGCCAAGCATACTAGGACTCAATTTCTTGACTTTAAGAAAGCTGACTTCATAAAACTTAGGGAAGTGCTGGGTGAGATCCCATGGACAGTAATACTAAAAGGAAAGGGAGTTCATGATGGCTGGGAGTTTGTTAAGAGGGAGATACTAAAAGCACAACGTCAGGCAATACCAATGAGACAGAAACATGGAAGGTGCCTAAAGAAGCCAGGGTGGCTATCTAAAGAACTTTTAACTGAGTTAAGATTAAAAAGGATGTGTACAAAAATGGAAAGGGGGGAAACCACCAAAGAGGAATTCAAACAAATAGCCAGCATGTGTAGACACAAAGTCAGAAAAGCTAAAGCACAGAATGAACTCAGGCTTGCTAGAGAGGTTAAAAGCAACAAAAAAGGCTTTTATGGGTATGTCCGTAGCAAAAGGAAGAACAAAGAAACAGTGGGGTCACTCAGAGGAGAAGATGGTGAAATGCAAACAGGGGACACAGAAAGGGCTGAACTCCTCAATGCCTTCTTTGCCTCAGTCTTCTCCGATAAAGAAAACAATGCCCGACCTGAAGAATTTGGAGCAAATGATTCAGCAAAGGAAACACAGCCCAGAATAACTAAGGACATAGTACAAGAATACTTGGCTAGTTTAGATGTATTCAAGTCTCAAGGGCCAGATGAACTGCATCAAAGAGTATTAAAAGAACTGGCAGATGTGATCTCAGAACCACTGGCAGTCATCTTTGAGAATTCCTGGAGAACAGGCGAAGTCCCGGCAGACTGGAGGAGGGCAAATGTTGTCCCTATTTTCAAAAAGGGGAAAGAGAGGACCCAAACAATTACCGCCCAGTCAGTCTGACATCAATACCAGGGAAGATTCTGGAGCAGATCATTAAGCAAACAGTCTGTGAGCACCTAGAAAGGAATGCTGTGATCACCAACAGTCAGCATGGATTTCTGAAAAATAAGTCATGTCAGACTAACCTGATCTCGTTTTTGACAGAATTACAAGCCTGGTAGATGAAGGGAACGCAGTGGATGTAGCCTACCTTGATTTCAGCAAGGCATTTGACAAGGTGCCTCATGATATTCTTGTAAAGAAGCTGGTAAAATGCGGTCTTGACTATGCTACCACTCAGTGGATTTGTAACTGGCTGACTGACCGAACCCAAAGGGTGCTCATCAATGGTTCCTCTTCATCCTGGAGAAGAGTGACTAGTGGGGTGCCACAGGGTTCTGTCTTGGGCCCGGTCTTATTCAACATCTTTATCAACGACTTGGATGATGGACTCAAGGGCATCCTGATCAAATTTGCAGATGACACCAAATTGGGAGGGGTGGCTAACACCCCAGAGGACAGGATCACACTTCAAAACGACCTTGACAGATTAGAGAACTGGGCCAAAACAAACAAGATGAATTTTAACAGGGAGAAATGTAAAGTATTGCACTTGGGCAAAAAAATGAGAGGCACAAATACAAGATGGGGACACCTGGCTTGAGAGCAGTACATGTGAAAAGGATCTAGGAGTCTTGGTTGACCACAAACTTGACATGAGCCAACAGTGTGACGCGGCAGCTAAAAAGCCAATGCAATTCTGGGCTGCATCAATAGGAGTATAGCATCTAGATCAAGGGAAGTAATAGTGCCACTTTATTCTGCTCTGGTCAGACCTCACCTGGAGTACTGTGTCCAGTTCTGGGCACCACAGTTCAAGAAGGACATTGACAAACTGGAACGTGTCCAGAGGAGGGCAACCAAAATGGTCAAAGGCCTGGAAACGATGCCTTATGAGGAACGGCTAAGAGAGCTGGGCATGTTTAGCCTGGAGAAGAGGAGGTTAAGGGGTGATATGATAGCCATGTTCAAATATATAAAAGGATGTCACATAGAGGAGGGAGAAAGGTTGTTTTCTGCTGCTCCAGAGAAGCGGACACGGAGCAATGGATCCAAACTACAAGAAAGAAGATTCCACCTAAACATTAGGAAGAACTTCCTGACAGTAAGAGCTGTTCGACAGTGGAATTTGCTGCCAAGGAGTGTGGTGGAGTCTCCTTCTTTGGAGGTCTTTAAGCAGAGGCTTGACAACCATATGTCAGGAGTGCTCTGATGGTGTTCCTGCTTGGCAGGGGGTTGGACTCGATGGCCCTTGTGGTCTCTTCCAACTCTATGATTCTATGATTCTATTCTATGATTCTATGATTCAAGGGCAGCCCTGCATAGAGCGAATTACAGTAGTCAAGCCTGGAGGTGACCATCGCATGGATCACTGTTTCTCCCTCCTCACTCAGAGCATGTTCAAAACTTAAATCGAATTTTTCATCTTAAGAGATGACTTTAGAGAGTTGCCAAGAAACGCACAGTGCTTTCCATCCAGTGCCCCATGCCCCCTCATTCCCTCCAAACTTGGGGCCAGGTGTTGGACAAACGGCAGATGAGACTGCCACCCCCGACCCTGGGGGAGTAGGGAGGCTGATTACTCCCATCTCAGCCTCTGATATCTCGTGCGTACGGCTGTGATGAAATTTCTACCCGTCTTCCATAGAACCAAGCCAGAAGTAACATTCTGTGTCACTCCTACATCTTATAATCTGCTCTTGTACCTGTTGTGCTTTCTGTTCTGAGACTTTATTGACCTTGGGCTGGGCGGAGGAATGCTGTCCAACGACTGTGAATCTGTTAAACACCTCCATCCCTATTAATCTTTCAGTGCTTCTTCTCCTAGCTGTTCCCCATTCAGTATTTCCCAGCTTCTGCCTTCTGAACTATGTCTCTCTGCAAACCACTGTTCCAAATCTATACTGTCCTCCTGCTCCTGGGAAGATTCAGGATCAGGTGGAGGGGGTGGCTCCCACCATTCCTCCTCAGTGCAGCCCTCCTCAACACGGTCCCTGACAGGTGGCCACCTTTGATCTTGTAGAGCAGTGATGGCCAAACTTGGCCCTCCAGCTGTTTGGGACTACAACTCCCATCATCCCTAGCTAACAGGACCAGTGGTCAGGGATGATGGGAATTGTAGTCCTAAAACAGCTGGAGAGCCAAGTTTGGCCATCACTGTTGTAGAGGGTCACAATGCTGGAATTGTGCATGTCTTGTGGCACAGATCCTGTTTCCCAACACTGCAAGAGAAGGCCATGGAGGTGCGCCATGAGAGAGGAGTTGAGGCGTATTTTCAACATTTTTGTTGGGATTCTGTCCTGTCCAGGGGTGTTTGTGATGCAGGGGCCGTGATGCAAGCACACCTCAAGCAGCTTTTGTCCATTCTCATTCATGCTACCTATACCAAAGTCACCTATGCAATTGCCCCATGTGTGATGATCACCCCAAACTCCAGCACTGAAATCTCCCAGCAGGAATAGGTGTTTGCAGGCTGGGAACATCCTGATAGTGTGGTCTAGCACCTCACAGAACTGGTCCTTGGTCCATATGTCAGGGCACATAGTGGGAGCATAGATGCTCAAGATGTTAACCAGGAGGTGGTTGAGAGATGAAGGGGAAACAAGCATTCTGAGCCCTTGGTCAGTGGTTCTGTCACAGACAGCAGAGAGCTCCCTTTTTTAAGAATAAATTTTATTAGAGTTTATAAAAAGAGATACAAAACTTAAGACCAAATATCTTTTTTATCCAACATTAACCTAAATAAAATAAAAAGAGAGAAAAATAGGAAAACAGAAAAGGAAAGGAGGAGAAAAGAAAGGAAGGGGGGGATGAGAGAAAATGATAAGAAGAAAGAGATAGAAAAGAACTTAAAAGAGAAAACAGAAAAGATAAAATACAGAAATTTAAAAACTTCCAAGTCTTCATCTGTCCACTATACTGTATATAAACTAAAGGTACTTCATTCATGGCAATATGTCACCCAACACAACCACGTTCTATAACCGAGTATTACCTTCAATCTCCAAATCCATATGTCATTATTTCATTTTCTTTTTCATGCAAAAAGTCTACGATAGGTTTCCGATCTTGAGTAAATGTTAACAATGACCTCTCTCTGATTAAACATGTCAATTTTGCAATCTCAGCTAAGTCTGTTAATTTTAACAACCATTCTTCCATGAGAAGACTCAGTCATGTGTCATTCCATCTTTGGGCATACAATAGTCTCCTGCCATAATCATATATTGAAAAAATAGTTATTTTCTAATTGTATATCCATAAGTCCAAGCAGGAAGAGTTCTGGTTTCAGCTGGAACTTAATCTTCATAATTCTCCACATCAATGCATGCATTTGTATCCAATATTTTTTTTTTACTTTTTTACATGTCCACCAAGCATGATAAAATGTTTGTCTCGTTTATATAAGTCACTGCAGCACAATACTGTACTCTGATCTTTTAAACAAGATGCTTGACTGCTGTGAATGCAGGATGACAGCAGGTAGGTATTGCCTTGAAGCAAAGCAGCTCCCTCAGGAGGAGAGGTTGGGCAAATTCACACCAATTAACATACACCCACACCCAGTGATATTCAGTTCTTAACTATTCTCAATTAGGATTAAGTGGGTTGGCTGACAATGTTCTCTTGCACGTAACATCGAATGTTGTCCTATAAAAGCCAGGGGCATTAGCTAAGGCGACGTCCTTATGTCTGTGCCTCTGAGAGAAATGGCATTTGGTGGAAGTCTGTGGACACTGATATTATACATGACCATTTTCATTAATTTCTTGCTGTTTGCATGGGGAGCTTATTATCGCCTTATCAGGATGCAGCTGCCTCGAGGAATCAGCTGTCGTGGAAAGTTACTACTTTTCGATTTCTCTCTAGGATATGGACTTATCCTGGTAAGGTTTTTTTACATATATCACAGGGATGAAGTTAGGTAAAGGTAAAGGGACCCCTAACAGTTAAGTCAGTTAACTGTCAGGACAGTTAAGTCGCAAACAACTCTGGGGCTGCGGCGCTCATCTCACTTTACAGGCCGAGGGAGCCAGCGTTTGTCCACAGACAGTTTTTCTGGGTCATGTGGCCAGCATGACTAAGCCGCTTCTGGCAAAGCCAGGGCAGTGCACAGAAATGCCATTTACCTTCCCGGCAGAGCGGTACCTATTTATCTACTTGCACTTTGACATGCTTTTGAGAACTGCTAGGTAGGCAGGAGCTGGAACCGAGCAACGGGAGCTCACCCCGTTGCAGGGCCTCGAACCGCCAACCTTCCGATTAACAAGTCCAAGCAGCATGGTGGTTTAAACCACAGCGCCAACAGCTGATGAAGTTACACCCCTATAAAAAGGGCTGCAATGTTTGTAATATTTCTCGAATATTCTTCAGATAGGCAATTAAGAGGTGACATGATAATATTATGCAAGACAGGGAGAAATTGGATAGAGAAAAGTCCCCCCACCTTCTCTCTTGACACTAGAAGTTGTGGAGAATTCACTGGAGTTGAATGTTGGAAGATTCAGGACAGATAGAAGGAAGTACTTCTTCACACCTGATATATTCAAACTATGGAGCTCTCTCACACAGGAGGCAGTGATGGCTGCCAAACTGAATAGCTTCCAAAAAGGATTAGATAAATTCATGGAAGAGAAGGTTTTGGGTGGCTACTAGCCTCCATGGCTGGGCTCTGAACCTGGAAAACATAGGAAGGGAGAGGGCTCTTGTGTTCAGCTTCTGCTTGCGGGTTTCCCATTGGGGCACCTGGTTGGCCACTGTGAGATGCTGGACTAGATAGGACATTGCCCTAATCCAGCAGGCTCTATTCATATCCACTTAGGTGGATTTATTCTGAGGAGGACTAGCACCGAACACCACCCACTTAGTGTGGTTTCTCATGGTGTCCATCAAGAAGAAGCATACAAGGAAGTGGAATGGTCAGGGGCTTCACTTCTGTGCTGCTCAGGAAGAATCACTCTCCATCCAAAGAGGAAGGAAAAGATATAATAATAATAATAATAATAATAATAATAATAATATTTTTTATTTATTTAATCCCCACCCTTCCCTGTTCAGAAAACCGGGCTCAGGGCGGCTAACAACAAATTTAAAACACTTAATTGATGCAACAAAAAACAGTATGCAATGTAGTCACCTCACATGTGGGGATTCCATTCCACAGGTAATAGACATATGTTTCATATACACACACGCGCACACACACAGAGTGAGGGGGGAAAGTATTTGATCCCCTGCTAAATTTGCCCGTTTGCCCTCTGACGAAGAAATGACCAGTCCATAATTTTAATGGTAGGTTTATTGTAGCTGTGAGAGACAGAATAACAACAGGAAAACCCTCAGAAACCCAGGCGACAAAAGTCAGAGATTATGGACTGGTCATTTCTTCATCAGAGGGCAAACGGGCAAATTTAGCAGGGGGATCAAATTCTCCCCTCCCCCCCTCTTCATATATGAAAAAGATTTGATGCTAATTATCAGTGGTAAATGTTTTGGTTCAAACAGGCAGGAATTCTGGAAAAACTGGGCATCTGCCATAGATTTGCCTTATTCAGGGCCGCGTGCCTGTTCATTCCAGTAATGAGGGACCCAAAGCTGATCATAAAGGATCTGGATTTTGATGGAGTGCCAGGGAGGGTGTACTGGCCTAAAACATCACCTGCTGGGAAAAGGAGAGGAATCATCTTTTTTCATGGAGGCTGTGCACTATTTGGAAGCATCCGTAAGTTCTGTGAATTGTTTTTGAAATGGTTCACTATGTTCTTTGAGGAGAATTTGGGGCGCTACTTTAATGTAAAGTTCCTGAAATGTTTGCTATGGAGGGGTGGAGCTGGTTTGTGCTGCCCTCGTATCATTTGAATAAAATATTGCGGGGGGTCAAGTAAGCCCTGCCCTGCATATTGGTCACATGATGTAGTGCACACACACTATTGGAATGGCAATACCCATCAATTTTGGGGGGACTGGCTCCCCTAAAATATTTTATTGGGGGGCCAAAGGGACCACAGCCCTTAGGTGTTGGCTCCTAGTCCACTCACCCAGGGTTAGTGCTCCTTTTGAGAACTGACGATATGGAGGAAACTGCCTTATTCACATATTTACACCCTCAGTCTGCATGGAGGGAGCCCAGATCTTACAGCATGGTCATCTCAAGCAGGGCTTGTTCTCCACAGCAGTGCAGCACTGGAGTCAAAGCCAGTTGGCGATTGTAGTCCTGAGCCATTTCAGGCTTTATAGGTCAAAACCTGTACTTTGGATTGGGCCCAGAAACAAATTGGCAGCCAATGTAGTTGGGCAGGCATTTTCATTATATGCTCAAACTGTCTTGCCACCGTGAGCAAGCTGGCTGCTGAATTCTGCATCAGCTGCAGTTTCTGAACAGTAGGTAGTGTAAGTTCAATGAACTTGGCAGGATGGGATTGTAAAAAATAAAAATTAAAAATGAGGCTGAGGCTTCCCGTTGTATGGGTGACCAGTTCTGTGGTAATCCTAGCGTCGTGGCCAATGAAAAACCTTTAAATTTTCATAGAAGGCGTTTTTGCTTCATGCGCCAAGGGACTTCTATGAAAAGTCTTCCAGAGAAGGTCAGAAATAATGCAGAAAGAAGCTCAGGAATATGGGTTGAGGTCGATCTGGTTCTGTTCTAATTTTTACCCATTGACACTGCTTGATCTGAGCTACTGATCAGGAGAGAACAAAATCCACATAATGGTTTTCAGCTGGCGATGCCCCATTTATCAACGGTTCAGTCCAACTTAGTTTTTCTCAGAGGAAACCCATTAAAGGTGGTTGTTGTTTTCTACAATCAAGTTTATTTTAATAAAAAAAAATAGCAGACCAGAATTAATCATAGCTGTTAATTTCACCAAGTTTACTTTTAGTAGGACTAACACTGGATCCAACTCATAGTGAATTCAATGTCAATTGCTAAGAGCAGGGGTCAGCAAACCTTTTCAGCAGGGGACCGGTCCACTGTCCCTCAGACCTTGTGGGGGGCCGGACTATATTTTGGGGGGGAAATATGAATGAATTCCTATGCCCCACAAATAACCCAGAGATGCATTTTAAATAAAAGCACACATTCTACTCATGTAAAAACATGCTGATTCCCGAACCATCTGCGGGCCGGATTTAGAAAGTGATTGAGCCAGAGCCAGCCCCTGGGCCTTAGTTTGCCTACCCATGCCTAAGAGGTTTTGTAATGGAGCCTATCAAATAATCTCTGATAGTGTCTCTGTGTGTGTTTTGTTCTTTTTTCCAGGAACCACTGAAAGGATCTGCCGTGCCATTGCCCACCAAACTGACTCAGTGGTTATGTGTCCTGAGTAAGTATCTTCACTCTTGTTGTAGCAGAAAAAAAGAGTAATTCTCCACAGCTTCTAACTCTTCCTAACACCTGAGCTCAGAGAAAGCCTGATAAAGTTTTAACATAGTGATTTTGCCAACCGTTATAATACCTTTGCACTTAGATTTTCATACCTTGGGCCCCAATCCCTCTGGCTTTGAGCATCTCTGCTGGAGCAGGCCCAAAGGGCTCAACATGTGATTGTCATGATGGCTAGCCAGGTTGTCAATGAGAAGCTCACAAACAGGACCCGAGCACTAGACCACTACCCCCAGTTGCAATTTACATCAACTGGTATTCAGAAGCATTACTGCCTGTGATAGTGGAGGGGGCACCCCCCCCCTTGTGACTAGCAGGGGGGGTGTTTTCAGCCAGAACTCACCAGAACTCACTTCTTTGTTGCTTTCTGGCACCTGTTTGGTGTGTTCCGGCAGCTCTGTAGTGTTGCAGTACCCATGGAAAACCTTATCCTCCATGAGAGGATGGTATTGCTTCTAAATCCATCCCCATTTTATCTATCACAATTCTCTATATCCTGCCTTTCAGGACACAACTCCTTCCAAGGCAGCACACAACAAACATTAAACTTCATTTGCAGAAACCACCACATCAGCTACACTTACCTTCCCAAGACAGCAGTGGTAAATTGGGAGAAGTGTCATTTGCCAGAACTTCAGAGCCCTTAACAACGCAAGCCTTCCCCACAGTAATGGCCACCATCTCTCCTCCCTTGCTGCCTTAATGCACCGTTGGTGCATGATCTGAAGCCTCCTGGTCAAGATGGGTGAACTCGACTTATTGGTTTTAGAGGCCATAAGGGATACGGTGGGCAGAAAGTGAATCCTGGTGGAATGGAGAGAACCAGTGGGACACAGTTATCTCAGGAAGGCAAGGTGGGACATTCTGGAGTTGGTGTCACCCTGCATGTGAAAAAAGAGCATTGAGTCCAGGAAGCAAGAAATCCCAGAAGAGGCAGACTTCTCCACATAATCATTGTGGGTGGTCATACTGGGTCCCAAGAGGGATTTCGTACTGGGGTTGTGTTCCCATCCTCCTTGTGGCGATCACACAGGGTCCCCGGACATTTGACGGTCTATTGATCCCTGTGCCACCACTGTGATTGCCTCTTCGCTGCCACCAACCCGTTTCTCTCGGGTACACACGGAGTCCAGACAGTTGTTAACATTAACAAATAATCGAGTTTATTTTATAGGCATGAACAACTAACAACTTCAAACTGATTATCCCACTATCTGACTCCACCTAACAGTTCCTCTCACTCTCTCACAACACAACTCGACCAACCCACAGACTTAGCCTCCCTCTTCCTTCTCCAACTCCCAACTCTCAACAACCAACTGACTTCCACACACCTCCGACTCTAACTTTTACTCCTCCCCTCGGGTTCCCACTGGCCAATCACTTCACACACATTTAACCCTTTCCTTATGATCCACCTAGGAGGCAAACGCCACACTCCTGATCAAAACGCTCAGGGAGATCCTGAGATGGAAAATGAAATCAAGGAAGCATCCAAAATAGCGAAGCGTTTTAATGGCATGGAGAAAGTGGCCAGGGGAAAGTTTTTATCCCTCTCTCTTAACTCTAGAACATGTGGACATTCAATGAAGCTGAATGCTGGAAAATTCAGATAAAAGAAAGTAAGGCTTTAAAAGAGGGTTAAACAAATCCACACAGTATAAGGCTACGAGTGGCTACTAGCCATGATGGTGATAGTCTGCCTCTGCAGTTGGAGGCAGTGTCCTTCTGAAGAACAGTTGCTGGAAACTGCGGGAGGGGAAAGTACCACTGTACTCATGTCCTGATTGTGAGTTTCTCCAATGATTGACCAGTGGCCACTGAGAACGGGATGCTCAACTAGCATTTTATCTGGGTTCAGAACCTCAAGCACATTGCTGGATGCTGCACTCCAGGCCTCTCCATTTCTCCCAGTGAACTCACCCCAACCCCCCGCCACACACCATTACCCCTCTTGTGCACCATCCTTGAGTGGCATCTGCCTTCCTGGAACGTGCCTTGCTTGCTTGGGTGGAGGATAGGGAATGGGTGGAGGATAGGGAACCAGCCCACTTCTCAAATGGGAAAGTTCACATTTCCATTTTTGCCTCTTGTCCCATCCACAGTTGGCATGTTGCCCCCTGGAAGGTTACATAGAATAGAAAGTGGCCCTCAGGGTGAGAAAGATGCCCAACCCTTGCAATATGTCATGCAGGAAAATATTCCTTGTTTGTGTTGCTGAATATTGAAGATATCTTGCTCTCTCTTTAGATTTCGTTTAAGTCCTGAGTATCCGTTTCCAACCGCAGTACAGGACTGCTGTACTGCTGCAATACACTTTCTGAAGAATGCAGAGGAATACGGAGTGGACCCCAGCCGCATTGCCTTTGCTGGGGAGAGTAGTGGAGGCACATATGCTACAGCCATTTGCCAAGAACTGGTGACCAGAGAGGACCTCCCAAGAGTGCGAGCTCAGGTCCTCATTTACCCATTCCTCCAAGGATTGGACTTCAATCTGCCATCCTATCAGCAAAACCATTCAATTCCTCCCTTGTTCCGGAAAAGAACTGTCAGTCTTGGTTTGATATCTCTCACTGGGAAGACAATGAATGTAGATGGAGTTCTGAAAGGCGCCCATGTCCCTCCTGATTTGAGAGAGAAATGCCAAAAATGGATCAATGCTGATAACATTCCAGAAGAATTTAAAGCTAGGGGCTATGTTCCTGTAGAACCTGCTGCATTTTCAGAAGAACTTTATGAACAAGTTAAAAGAGGTGGTGAGACAGTGTTTGCCCCCCTTCTAGCGGAGGATGACATAATCCGCCAGCTCCCAGAGACTTTCATTCTAACCTGTGAATATGATGTTCTCCGGGATGATGGGCTGTTGTACAAGAAGCGGCTAGAGGACAATGGTGTGCCAGTGACATGGTATCATGTTCAAGATGGATTTCATGCAATAATGGCCATGGCTGGTTTGAAGGCAATTGAATTTCCCAGCACACAGAAATGTTTGCAGAATGTAATACAGTTCTTAAAAGGTTTATAGTAATGAATGATTTTAATAAATTAGACTGAGTAAAACTTTGGATCAGAGTTTTTCTTTTTACTTCAGGATTGTTACAATGAGGAAATAATATCCTCCCACAAAAGAGGAAGAATATTGTTGGAAGACAAAGAAGGTCATTCATTTCTGTAAACTTTTTAAGAACTGTACTGTATTACATTTTCCCTCATTGTTCCCTCATTTCTCCCTCATTCACTTAAATAAATATCAAATGATATTTGATATGTCATTATAAAATATTGTGGGTCATACCTTGGTTTTTTACCTTGGTTTTTTTCATCAAATGTTAGTAATACAGTGGTCCCTTGAGTTACAAACACCTCGGGTTACAAACACTTTGGGTTACAGACTCTGCTAACCCGGAAGCAATACCTCAAGTTAAGAACTTTGCTTCAGGATGAGAACAGAAATCGTGCGGCGGCAGCAGGAGGCCCCATTAGCTAAAGTGGTGCTTCAGGTTAAGAACAGTTTCAGGTTAAGAACGGACCTCCAGAACGAATTAAGTTCGTAACCAGAGGTACCACTGTACTCGGCCACACCATTTTCCAAAATGCTGTTTCTTTCTCTGATGATGGTTGCTGGTTGCTGTGTTCCACCCCCTGGTGTCACATTTTAATTCTCTATCCTCCCTCCCTCCCTCCCTCCCTCCCTCCCTCTGTGTCCTTTGTTATTCCCCCTTGAACATCATTGTGGGTGGGGAGCAGAGTTTGGAGGCCGGAAAAAAAGAATAGTAAAACATTACATAGGGACATGTGAGCAGTATTTCACCAATATATCAGCACAAAACAATTAAAAATTAAGTGATTAAAAAATAAAGTAGTAACACATTATGAATGTAAAAAGTTGTGTGTCCATCTATAATTATCAAAACCATTTCTTAACCCTTCCTTTATGTTAAAAACTGTGTGTGTAGATCCGCCCTTAGTTACATCAAAGGAGGCGGTTAGCTTGGAGGGCACCTCGGTGGTATACACTCAGGGTACTGTCAGATACAGCAGTGAACCACTTGGTGTGTAATCTTACAAGACACAGCAGTGATTTTTATTTAACGGCTTAAAATATAGAACATCCATGTCCAGCAATGTCGAAACAAAGCTTTATTTCCCCTGAGTCAAATACCCAAATGGCATGCACACACACACCCAGACATGCAGACCCAGTATTGGTATGAAAGCCCAGTGAGGCCATAAGCTTCCACTGCCCCAGATATGGCCACTTCCCAGGCAGGTGTGAGGCCAATTTGGTGTCGTGCCAACCCAGGAAAACAACACACCTCCATGTACCCTGCCATACCTTTTTTTCTTTTGTTTAGTCTGTTTTTTATTGTAATGTATTAATAAAGGTCTCAATAAAATCTTATCGGGGGTAAATGATTCCCCATCCTTCCATCTTTCCTCTTGCTCTTTCGAGGAGCAGGCAACACACAGACCACTCCCTCAAAGTCTGCTGCATCAAAGCACATTTGACTGGAGGACCAACAGCAAGTGCTAGGAGTTGCGGCTGGGGAGAGGAAAGTGGAGAAAAATAGCAGATCATATTTTTGGATTCATCAAGGAGGCAGCTTACATTCCAAAGGAGGGAGGTCCCTTGATCCGTTTAGCCAGCATCCCATTGGCCTGATTGAACCCTGCATCAAGAGACCTATCAACTGGGTGTTGTGGCTATCCAATCATACCCACCCACAACACAGGGTTTGGTTGCCAGGTCCCACTGCAACACGTACCCTCTTTAAGGGAGGACCTGATTTACATCTCCAGCATAGATTTGAAGGTAATTTATAATTTTTTGCCAATTTAACTGGGGTTATGTACCACCTATAACACATCTTCATGATATTTCTTTAATAATAGCACATGCAGAAACATTTGTATCATTTTCCCATAACTTTTCCCACCTCTCAAACCAAATTGCATAGCCCAAATCTTGTCCCCATTTTATCATAAATTCTTTTGTTTGTTCATCTTTTAATTCCCACTCAAGTAACAAATTATACATTTTAGAAAGGTTTTTCTTTGTGTTTTGTAGAATTTCTGATAGGAATTTAGACTCTTCCTTCAAGAAGCCAATTTTCTTATCATGAGCAAATTTATTGTTTAGTTGGTAGTACTGAAGCCAGCTAGTGCAGTACTAGTACTAATATTCTTCATGCGGTTTAAGTTTTAACTGTCCTCCTTATTCTTCTATTATCAATTGTCTATATGTTGCTCCAATTTTACCCATATTTTTCTTTTTGAATGAAAGTATATCAAACCCCACCATGGGGTTTTGGGTTCCAGAAGCCTATGATATTTCCTCCAGACCTTAATTAATGGATTCCTGATAATACGGTTAATAAAACCCTGATGTACTTTTGTCTTGTCTTCCAATAAGTAAGCGTGCCATCCATATCTTATGTCATGCCCCTCACGGTCTAATATATCGGTATTCTCAAGCCGAATCTACTCCTTAATCCAACAGAGGCAGGAGGCCTCAAAGTAGATCTTCAAATCAGGGAGGCCAACCCTCCCCCCTTATCTGTAAGGAGTTTGAATCTTATACAGAGGTCTTATTTTTTTAAATTCAACAATAGCTGTTCCAGGGCATGGCAGCAACAATCCTTGAGAGATCCCTGCTTTGATATCGCAGATTGGAGGGGCCTACAGTGTTAGGAAGGCTGGGAGCCCCTTTGAGCCTGTTACTGGAAAAATCCGAGGGCTCCCTTGGACAAAACAAAGACACCAACCAGGATAACTTGGAGCAAAACAGCAGCCTGTAGGCTTGGCCTTTATTGAACTGTTGCAACAGGGTGTTCCCCTCACTTGCAGGAGAGAGGAAAGACACAGAAAAATGGTGTGCAAGACCTTATAAAAACTTTTGAAATTCCCATCCTCTAGGTCAAGCCCACCCCCAGAAACATCATGCATACATTACAGAAAGGAGGGGTTGAGGGAGGAGTTGCGGTGGTAACCTGAGTGTCCTGTCACCTGGCTGGTTCCTTTCTCTCCCCCCCCCCCATGAGTCATTTTCTGAAGACAAAAGGTAGTCACAGTTTCCTGCCCCCTGAGGGAAGATCTGATCATTGTCCTTTGTTCCAGTCCATGCTGAATCCACTCCCATATGGAAGTTCTTTGTGATCTTGATTGTCTTCTGTCTAGGACCATCAGGGTTGGCATAGCAACTGGGCAGGGCTCCTGTGGATGTGCTGGGATGATGAAGGGATTATGGTGCCCTGTATCAAACCTTCCCCATTTTGTAGTCTTTCCTTCATGGAGTAAAATAAAAGTGGAACAGTGCAAATCCGATGTATGGTTGATTTTTCTATGAATTTATAACAGAAGCGTGGCGTATGTAGTGTGTGAGTGTGTGTGAAGTTTGTACAAACTGAATGATTGGGGTGGGGGGTTCCTGCTACAGTTCCCCCCTTCGGAGATAAGATTGCAAAGGTGGCTACTTTGCAATCCTTTTCTCCGCACAATTTAAGGTGGTAAATATTAACCTGCTATTCTCCGTCCCAGATGCATTATGTGACGTAGGGCATAGTGAGGAGACCTGTAACTGGAGGTGCGAGAAACTGTCTATAGCATTTTGCAGGATGAATCTGGGACCTTTTCCCATTTTGCATTCCATCTCTACAGGCAAACATGCCATATTCTTTCCATGGCAACTGGGTGCCAGAAACATCCACAGTAGCTCTGCAGTCAAGATGAAATAATTCTGCAAATTTGATGGAATTCCAAGTCATAGTATAATCTAATCAACAACAGAGCTACCTATCTTATTTTTCTTGCAAAAAAATAAATAAAACCAACTGAAAAAGCAGAAACCTCAAACACGGAGTGGGGGTGGGGGTTCCCAGAGGATTCCCCCCCTTTTGGCCCTTGGTAGGACAATAACATTTGTCATTTATTTATTCATTTGAAATATGTATAAAGTACTAAAGATTGGGTGTATGTGGTGTTAGGGGAGGGTTAGTACCTCTGGTGGGGACGTGTCATGCTCCATGTGTGGCAGTTTATGAGGGCTGCCATCCGTCTGAATTTCCCCAGACATTACTGGGATTTCAAAGGCAGAAATGATGTCGGGGGGGGGGGGGGGATTTCTGAAATGTGCTGCTTTGTCTTGGATCTTAGGCGAGTTTTTGTTTTTTAAAAAAAAGCTCAACAATAAAATAAACTCAGAAGGAGCAGCTCTCAGCAAAATATTTATTAGATTTCTTAGCTGCCCTTCATTATCGGGCAGGTCACAACAACGAAACCTATAATTATACAATATCAGTTCCTGCCTACTCAAACTGGGATTTCTTTTTATTGCAGCATCTGCTTGTTATTGAAACTTGTGTAACTTTAGCAGACTATTCACAGGTGCTGAAGGACCTAGTCAGAGCGGCCAAGGCATCGGTAGGCAAACTAAGGCCTGGGGGCCAGATCTGGCCCAATCGCCTTCTAAATCTGGCCCACGGATGGTCCAGGAATCAGCATGTTTTTACATGAGTAGAATGTGTGCTTTTATTTAAAATGCATCTCTGGGTTATTTGTGAGGCATAGGAATTCATTCATTTTCCCCCCTTCATAATATACTCCAGCCCCTCACAAGGTCTGAGGGACAGTGGACCTGCCCCCTGCTGAAAAAGTTTGCTGACCCCTGTGCCAAGGCATCACAAGGAGATCCCCTGCCTATGATGGCAGTGAACTGGCATGTTTATTGGGCCTAAGGTGCTGCTTCTGCCACCTCAGGACAAGATGGCCGCCCAGGAGGGGGCAGGTCAGACCCCAATGGCTTCTTCTCTGACAGGGCCCAGTGTTTTGAGCCAAGGACTTCTCATTCACCCACTTATGCTACACGTGAATAAGGAATGCTTCTTTCTGTGTCAACTGAGCTTTTTCTTCTTCTCATGGGTAAAGCCAGCATTTACAAAGCGGTAAAGGACTCACTCCCTCATAGTAAAGACAAAAGGGGGGTGTCCTCTTCATATGGGAAAGAGTTGGCACCATTCAGAAGGCATATGAGAAGGAGATCATGGCTACCCAGCATGGCCATTGCTCAAGGATGATGGGAGTTGTAGTTCAAGAACATCTAGGGACCCAAGGTTGAGACCCAAAGAACACCGAGGGGCCAAAAGTTCTCCTTCCCCCAAACAATGAAATTGAAGAGTGCTAGTAAAACAATCCTCTCTGATTCAAGCAAGGCCCATCACAAGGGAGCTCTTCTTCTGTGCCCTTTCCCCCACAGCAATGTTGGCTTTCCTTCCTTGACCCCATCACCTCCGCCCTATGGTGTCATGGCATTAGGTGGTGCCTGCAGCATTATCTTGAGGACAAATCAACACTTGCAACCTTTCATTTGGATTACTGCAACATGTTATGCATGGAGTTGAATTTGGAAATAGTCTGGAAAGGTCAATTAGTGCCAGCAATGACTGTTGGGACATAGATTGGCACTTGACAACATAACAATATCTAATCCATGTCCCAACCTCTTCAGTAGATCCCATTCTGTCAAATGGGATTGTTTATGGAAATCGAAAGGGCTTGGTTTACCTTATTTATTTATTTTTTTCAATTTTAAATAATATTTATTTTTTTTCCAAAAACACTAAAAAAAAGGCGAAAAAAAGAAAAAGAAAAACAATACAATACAACACATCAAATTAACAAAACAAGACAAAGACAATAAAATAAATCAGACAATTTCATTATCCCATCTTTCCTTCACTTATTTCCACGACCTCCTCACACCTCCCTTTTTGTATTCCACTTCTCTTAATTATTTCAGCAATTCCTTTCCATCTTCCTCTGTTTTCTATCCTATAATTATCTTAACTCATTCTAACCTTATTTTTTCCCCTTTAATACTCTATTAACCTATCTGTACTTAATTCCTTATAATATTTCTACTAAAGCCATATAACTTCATTTCAACATTTTTCTAACATTCATTAATTTTACAATATTTATGTAGATAGTCTTTAAACTTTTTCCAATCTTCTTCCACCAACTCCTCTCCCTGGTCTCGGATTCTGCCAGTCATTTCCGCCAGTTCCATGTAGTCCATCAACTTCATCTGCCATTCTTCCCGGGTGGGCAAATCTTGTGTCTTCCAATACTTCGCGATGAGTATTCTTGCTGCTGTTGTTGCGTACATAAAATAAATTTCTATCCTTCTTTGGCACCAATTGGCCGACTATGCCCAGGAGAAAGGCCTCTGGTTTCTTCAAGAAGGTATATTTAAATACCTTTTTCATTTCATTATAAATCATCTCCCAGAATGTCTTAATCCTTGGGCACGTCCACCAAAGGTGAAAGAATGTGCCTTCAGTCTCATTACATTTCCAACATTTATTGTCAGGCAAATGGTAAATTTTTGCAAGCTTGACTGGTGTCATGTACCACCTATAAATCATTTTCATTAAGTTTTCTCTTAAGGCATTACATGCCGTAAATTTCATACCTGTGGTCCATAACTGTTCCCAGTCAACCATCATTATATTATGTCCAACATCTTGTGCCCATTTAATCATACTGATTTCACCGTTTCATCCTGAGTGTTCCATTTCAACAGCAAGTTATACATTTTTGACAAATTCTTGATTTTGGAATCTAACAATTCTGTTTCCAATTTTGATTTTTCCACCTGGAAACCAACTTTTTTGTCCAAATTGTATGCCTCCATTATTTGATAATAATGGAGCCAATCTCGCACTTTATTTTTCAATTTTTCAAAGCTCTGCAATTTTAGTCTGTCTCCCTCTTGTTCCAGAATTTCCCTATATTTCGGCCATTTGGCCTCCATATTGAGTTTTTTCTGTGCCTTCGCTTCCGTTGGTGACAACCATCTTGGGGTTTTCTTTTCTAACAAATCTTTATATCTTATCCGTACATTAAACAGTGCTTTTCTGACAATATGATTTTTAAACGCTTTATGTGCTTTTACCTTATCGTACCACAAATATGCATGCCAACCAAATACATTATTAAAACCTTCTAAATCCAACACATCAGTGTTTTCAAGTAGCAGCCATTCTCTCAGCCAACAAAAAGCAGCTGATTCATAATAGAGTTTTAGGTCTGGCAGGGCAAATCCACCTCTTTCTTTAGCATCAGTTAATATCTTAAATTTTATTCGAGGCTTCTTGCCCTGCCAGAC